GGCAATAAGGGAGCAGAATGGCTCAGTGGGTTGTTGCTCAATTCGAAACGTCGAAATTGAGGTTCTGTTCTATTTATTCTAATCTGTCCAAAAGTCTGGATAACCTTGGCGACTCACATGTTTTTCCAGAGACTCCCTGGATATTTTCCCAGCGTAAGTTTAGCCAGTAATGGTGAGGACTCTAAAAAAAAAGACATGTAATCGCAATCGTTTGTTTCGATCTTATTTAAAACTTTTGACTCGGTTTTACATATTAAGTTCATTTGCAAAAGTTAGCACCACAGAAAAGAGCTTGGTTCAATGTAGAAATAAGTAAATAAGTAGTAAAATTCATTTAATTTTCATTTTTTTTGAAATTTATTACTCGTTTTTCGAATTTATTATCTAATATTTGATTAATTATAATTGATAATGCGTTGGTTTTTTTGGTAAAAAATGAAAACATTTCAACGACCTAATTCTAATAAGGTAAAAAGTGAATTTAAGATTAGGAATCATGGACCTTTATAATCATTTAATTCATGTTAATCGATGTGATGAATTTAATAAATTTCTTCGTCATTTTATAATTATAATTCAGTAATAATTGCATATGCGAAAATCAGATAAAAATGATTTTCATCAACGGTTTCATAAAAATTATTTCTTAGACTGCCACGTTGAATTGAAAAACGATTGCAAATTTGACATTTCTTTTTTTAAGTAACTCAACGAATCGCTGAAATTCAACAAATTCTCAATTCTCATGAATCTCATGAAGATATTTGCTTTTCATTTGTTAATGAATTATTTAAAAATATGGATTTTTTTCCTATAGGAAATTTATCTAAATTCCTTTCCCTTATCGATTTAATTGGATAAATTTTGCTTTTGTTTCGTTTTATAAATATTCAATATATTCTGTTTAAAAAAATTTTTTTCAAATATGCAAAATACTGAAAAAATTACGCTCAAGCAATTTAGAAAATACTGAGCAATTAATTTGTATTTTAAAATTGGAAGATGTCGGAAAAACCGGAATAATAAGCGTTTTCCCATGCTTAAAATCATAAGACAGTTGCACATGCGGTATTTTTGTATGTAAATTTCCCTTGCAACCGTGAGAATATTATCCATTTGTAAAGAAAATACCTCTAATTATAAATAAAATCTCTTTCTTATACATTCCTTATAAAAAACGTTGAGGAAACGTTGAGCAACCAGGAGTCACTGTTTGAGTGAATCTATCGGTTTAGTCGGTTAATTGGTTAATCGGCAGGTCAGTTAGTTTCGGCAATACATCCTTCGTATTCTTCCGTAATCTTACCTTTCAGTTCGTTATAATAATTGATATTAATTTGTACGTCGTTTTATTATAATAATTAATATTATTTCGCACACCGTTCTCCTTCTATAATATTGGTGTCTGGATGGTAATAAAATCTATAACTAGCTGTATATTCCAAATCTAATTGGTAAAGCCGACGACGAGTAAGCAAGTCACATCTTTAAAAAATTTTAGTTTTTCTTTCTTCTTTCTGATTTTCCAAAATTTTTCACGATGTAAAAATTTTTGGTGCCAGAGGTGAGGCAGCATTATGACCTCCACAGTAACAAAAAATATATGCACAAAGTTAAACCTGTAAACCTGTAAAAGAAAGATTAGAAATATTCCTTCACGAAATAAAGTCTCTCCCTCAATCGTCCTTGCCCATTTTCATAAATAGCCGAGAACTCCCTTTGTTAATCCAATCATTATTTCATAAAAACCTCCGCTCCATGGTGTTTTCGGTATAATGTTTTTCCTCTTTAAAGCTAGGAAATTTTTACTTGTCCATAATACCAATACCAATTCCATTTGAAATACCAACTGAAATTGACTATTATTGTCGCTTAAAAAAAGTTTCTGTGTCGCGATATAAATCTGCAAAACTCATGCATGAATATTTCTGCTGATAAGTTTTTCTACAGTGCTCAGTTCTAAATGCACTGCTCAGTAGCAATACATGTGAAAAGCGTTATCCACCTTTTGACTACTCCATTGTCATTTCTGATTAAAAATGGTCACAAATAGTCAAGACCAATCTATCAAAGATTCTTGATTTTCTGACAAGAGATTCTGGTAGACTTGGCATCGATGGTAGTTTGAATAGTTTGACTCTCCATTGTTTACTAGCCATTCATCCCTTTACTGTAGATCTGCCACTTGATATCCAAAATTTTTGCCTTTATTTACACAATGTGTCCAACTTATATATAGATAGCTCCTCATGCTTCTGCTTAATAATAAGTTCAGTAATATGGTTGTGATTTGGTAAATAAATAGGAATTTACATGTTCAATCTTGCATTTTATAGACGACTGCTTGTTCGCCATAAGTCACCTTCTTCATCGAGATATAGATTTTCATGCATCTACTTGCTGCTTGTTTCCATCGGATTGTCCTTATTTTATTAACATACTATATGCCATATCCTAGTTGTTTTTGTTCATAAGATCTTTATCAGTAGAAATCGATTGCAACCATTTATTATTTTTCCTTGAGAATTAGCTTGGATAAATTTGAGAGCCCACAGGGTTACTTTTGGTAATCGAGTCCATTTATTAAAATGGCTCGCATCTATGAATTAGAAATTTTTTGATCTAAAAATTTGTTTTACTTTCGTAACTGTTGCCATGCTGAATTCGTCATCACCAGCACATCTGAATTTCCATTGCGGTCATTCAGTCTTTTTTTTTACCAGCCATTTCGGGCCTTTCCACCATAATTCACAAGTTCGTAGTTTAATTGGCGACATTCCTCTGGCTGCTACATCCACGATATTATGTTCACTTGGTATGTATTGAAAGGTTAAGCCTGTCCTTCGTATTTCTTCGACCCGATTTTGAACGAATCGAGGAACAATTTAGAATTTTTAATCCAAAATAAGCACATTTTGAGTTCGACCATAGAGTCACAGGTATATATCCTTCAATTCTAATTGTTGTAATACGAAATGTGCAATTTGTACACCAATAACTACCGATAGTAATTCAAGTCTTGGTATGGATATACCTTTAATTGGAGCAATCCGAAATTTAGCATATATTAAGAATAATTCCATTCTTGGGTATCGTTTGTTGAGAGTTGCTGCATATGCAAAGTTACAGGCATCGGTAAATACGTATGCAATATTTAATGAATTTATCACAAACCTCGATAAATCGATTATACTGGTCGGCCATTTCCTAAACACCTAGTCACAGGTGCCTAGTGCCATTGTCGCTCACAGATTTATATCCTCCTAAACTTATTTTAAGCGACAGTGCTAATCAATTTCAATTGGTATTAAAAACTATTATGGATATAAAATAAAAATTTCCTAGCTTCAAATGGGAAAACATTATACCGAAAACCCCATGGAGTGGAGGTGTTTATGAAGGAATGACTGCAAAGAAACTTTTCAGGAGAGCATTAGGTAGGAAGTTTTTATGAAAAAAAAATTATTAATCACATTAATAGTGAAAATTGAAGGAATACTTAATATCCGTCCATAACACCATTAATTTATTTAAATTTTTTCCATTAGATATACCAACAGATGAAGATAGTATGCAAGATGAATTCACTCTCCACCCATTGAATACTAAAGATAAATTAGACAAATATTGGTCCAATGCTCTCAAAACATTAGATGTATTCTGGGGAAATTGGAAAAACGATCTCAGTAGTCTTAGAGTAATCTTATATAAAGGAAAATAGCATCCCCCAAAAGAGTAGAGGAACGAATTCCACATCCTGCCGAAATAGCCTTATTGAATGAACCTGAACTACCAAGGGGTATGGGGAAGTTAGTGAAAATTCAAGAAGTGAAAATTCAATATCGGATGAGATGGAAAGATGAGAATTGTAATAGTGCGAACTTTTAATGGAAAATTTTCAATCGACCAATCAATTTACTTTATCCACTGGAAGAAAATGAAGAGGACAGTGAAGAAATCCAAAAAACAACAACAAAGGATGAAGTAGAAGAACCAATTGATCTCGGAACTAGAAGAGCGCAAAGAAGACGAGAGCTTATTGAAGGACGAGAGCTACTTTCAACCAAGTTCAATAATAAAAAAGCTTACTATTAAAAACCGTTATTTCTTCACTAATTCTACCTATTATCTCGATTGAAAAATGCAAGTGGATTTCTGGTATTCCGTTTAACTTTCCACAGAAATGGAATTGTAACGATCAATTCACTGAGAATTTGTACCAAACGAAACAGCTGTCGGAAAAAAAATGTATTCTTGCTACCGTAAATTGAAATATTTATTAAAAAATACTGTTTACTATAATAAATGAAAAATAGTTATTTAATAGGTTCGAAGTAAAAGCGAATATATTCTAAGCGAATAGTTAATAAAAAAAAGAGTGGTGAAGCAAGGCGAAGGCGATTCTTGTTATTGCCAATCCAACATTGACCGGTTCTCCTTTGCCAATCTGGGTGGTTCTTTTGAAACATTGGTAGATCAAAAATTACATAAAAATTAATTTATTTTTTTTGATATGCAAACAAAATGGTTTTACAAAGTAGCTAATAGATGCGTGAACAAAGAAAAACAATTTGCGATTTGCATATTGTTGACTGCTTATGATGTGGAAAGCTTTGTTAAAATCTTGTTTTTTCCTTTTTTTTAAATTTTAAAAAGCTTTTTGAATTTTACCTATTGCTATTATTTTATTTTATTTTATTTCTTCCCTTCGATTATTTCCGACAATAGCGGTATATATTAAAACTCATATAATGACATCTGCGCTCAAAGGAAGCAATATAACTCGTACGGTATGTAGTAAAGCCTTTTTGAGATTTCCTTTATCTGTAGAATCAGATCAGACCACTACTTCGGTAACAACTTCAATTTTTGTAAAGCACTCGACAAGCAAAGACTTAGCGGAATAGATCTTCAGCAGATCAACGATATCAGCAGATATCTTCAAATCAATGGAGAATGGTGAATAATGTGCAATACTCTTATGGATGGCCAAATATTCGATGCCAATCAACTACCTTTCCTATGATGGAAGAGAAACAGTGCCGAAACTCGACACTATCCAACATTGCCTCATACAAAGCGGGAAATGTACAACAAATACAAGTATATTTTTATGGAATGCGGCAGAAGCTATAAGTGAATGCTTATATCGAAAAATTGGGAATTACCAGGCAAGGATATGTGATGATCTGTCATCATTGATGAGCTGCAAATGCCATTTACCTTTAAAAGTAACAAAACAATTCGAGAAACTTCAACTTTATCAATCCTAAATTAATGGATAATAAAATTATAATCTTTAACCTATAAAGAGATGTTATTCATGATGGAAAAGACCAAATTAAAAACTACTGATTCGGAAAATACCAAATTTCAATATTTCTATGATACTCTTCAAGAAGAATTTGGGCAAAGATTTAAAGAAATATATCAAAAAAGTTACCGTAATCGTAATAACCTATTAATACTTATTGAATGGGGTATCCCATAATAAACCTACTATAGCAACTAACTTACTATACTAAATCTACTATACCTAATCCTACAAAGAGCCGGCATAATAGCAATATCAATGGAAATTATCAATGGCGCTTTCAAATCAAAGAACTTGGAATTAAAATCAGTAAAATTTACCAGTGGCATAATTGATGACTTTAAAATCAAAAGAATGAACGCTGACTTAGAAATCCTATCACAATAACAAACCTACAACACTTATCAAGCCAAACAGCCAGAATGAAATATTTGGGAAGAAATCGACCAAGAAGGCAACAAGCCAACTATCGGAACAAATCGGACATGGAGTCGACAAAATGACCGAATTAATACAACAAGAGCTGGACAATTTTACGATGCATTGGCGACTCATCACTCTTGGTGTATGTGTTTTCTGTTTGGCAATAATTATCATTAAGGTAAAATTAGATTTATTCTAGATTTGTTCTATACTTTATTTACCTTGTATCCAACGTTTAAACCAAACGACAAAACTAAAATTAATTAGTTGTCTCATTAAAAAACCAATAAAATAAAATTGAACAACAAAATGGATATATTTAATTATATTTCCCCAAGCCTAAAATCTTCTCTCAGTTGAGGGTGTCGGAAAAACTGAAATAATAAGCGTTTTCCCATGTTTTCCTTAAATTCATAAATCAGCTATATCCAGTATTATATCCACTATTTTTATATGTAAATTTTCTTTGCAGCTGTGGGAATACTGCCAATTTGTAAAGATATTATACGTCTAATTGTAAATAAAATCTCTTCACTCACATTCCTTATAAAAAACGTCGAGGACTGCGACCAGGAATCAATGTGTGAGTGAATCTGTCGGTTAATTAATTGGTCGACCAGTTAGTCAGTCAGTTTCGACAATACGTCCTTCGTATTCTTCCGTAATCCTGCCTTTCAATTCGTTATAATACTTGATATTATTTTGCACATCGTTCTATTGTATTGGTGCCTGGGCAGTAATAAAATCTACAACTAGCTGTATATTCCAAGTCTAATTCGTGATACCGACGACGAGTAAGCAAGTTATTTCTTTCAAATATTCTAGTTTTTCTTTCTTCTTTCTGAATTAACAAAACTTTTCACGTTAGAAGATACCTTTATTGAAAGATGGTCAATCAGCACTTTTCTATTGCCAAGTGACTCTATAGCGAAGAAATCTCGTGCTATTGCCAAAGTGAAACTAAGTAAACCAGAAATGGTGAGAATTCTTGCAAAAAAAATAATTTTTTCGCAACATATTTCACAAATTATTTTTGTTCCAAATTTTTTTTCTCTTTTAATTTTTGATTCGAAATTTTAGCATTTGATTAATTGAATTGCAGTAGTTAAAAATGAATAACCTTGAAGAAGTTTTTTCTGCCTTACTGAATTAAAATCTGAAAATGCGCTGAGATAATAAAGTTCCAAAACATAAATTAAATTTTCTTTTTTTTCTGAAAAGCGATTTGGGTTTGGCATTTCAACGGACCATAATTGCGAATAAATTTGCACTCAATTACTTAACTGAAGATTATTAATAAAATGCATTTTATTCACCGCATTCTATTGAATAGTTTGTTTCAAGGCTTTCATAACGCAGCTCAAACTCTCTTTCCATTTCTATTTTCCATTCCACCAAATAATTTCTATTCCATCAATTTCACCTTCTGGTGAAAACCTTCTGTAAGTGGGATATAAAATTCCTGGATAAGCCTTGAACTAAGCTTCTTTTTCATGATAGCCGTGGCTTTCCATTGTCTCTAAAAAATAATTATTCATTCAAAAGTCTTATCAATAGTCTTGTCAAGTCATATATATATATATATATATCAGTATGTTATATTTCCAAAGATAAAACATTTTTATCAAATTTAATATTAGAGGATCGCCCTAAAGATGATAGGAAGGTGATAATTAAAAGCATCAAAATTAAGTCTTAAATTAAACTCCACAAGAAATAAAACTGATATTATTCGGTTTTATGAAATCGTTGTAATTATTTTTCGTCTGATTATTCAGTGGATCATGTAATATTATAATTAGACCATACAATTTAAAAATGTAGAGAATGCAGAAAATGTTAATTTTGCTTTCGTAATCGAGTTGTAATACTTTCGAAATCAATTTCTTAAAAAATGCAATAATTTCGGAACTTAGAATTTATTGAGAATATTAAAAATTTTCTGAAAAAATCATCATTAATTGAATGTATTATTACGCCCTATTATTATTCAGCTAGCATCTTTGTAAAGTTTAAATTATTTAATAAATGGTTTTACTTAAAAATAAGAAAATAAGAAATTTAGGGACTTCAACATTCTAATAATCGTTGAAATCTATATGGAGATCGAAAATTGCGACGATTATTTTGCAGAATTTTATAGTATGATTGGCCAATGACAATAACAATATGCTTCGCCAATGACAATGACAATATGCTTCATTAGTGCTTACACATGTGAACGAGGTTGACTAGACAAATGCAGTGAAAATAAATCGTCGCAAATTTTCAACATGCATGTTGTAATCGAGTTTTTCACCGTGCATCGCAAACATTAAATCAAGTCAATTTTATTAAAAAATATTTAAAATTAATAAAATTAATAAAATGAATTAAAATAAAAATGCATGTAATAATAATGCGGCTTTCTTTTTCTGATTTCTTCGGTTAAATTTAAAATGGGATTCTATATGGTTTTCACTTAAATGCAAACAAGATTTTTTAGTGATTTAAATGAAATATTTATTCATCGATAGAAATTGCTTTAATAATATTTATAATAATATTAGTTTAATGATATTTTTAATATTAATGAATGGAACTGCAAAAACAGGTTTTTCTGAATCGTGAGAAGGTTATTTATCATATATATAATTGCTTTTTGAATATATATATATATATATATATATATTCAAAAATAGATGATTTTTAGATTTATAACGTAGTTATTAAATAAAAAAATATTTAAAATCTTAACAAAAAGCAATTTAAATGATCGACTTTCTTCAATAAAAATTAGTTTAATTATAAGAAAATCAGCAAAAAAAATCAGCAATTTTATTTGCCACAAAGTTGATTCTTCTACAAAACTTGAGATATTTATAAAAAATTAAATAAAAATTTAATGAATATCAAATACCAAATACCAAATAAATACCATATAAAAATTTTATGCAATATTTCATTATTTTCATGATGATGATATCAACTAGAAAAGTTCTCTAGAAAATTTTGAAACTTTGCCAGAAGACAAGAATTTTTTTTATTAAAGCCAAACATAAAAAATATAAAATTTTTAAAAATTATTGAAATCTTTAGGTTAGTCTATTTTCAATAATGTGGAATAGGCCTAAATTCTACGGAAATATATCTGTTATCTTCAAAAATTAATCAAAAATTAATCTTAAAATTAATCAATTAATCTTCAAAATGCAAGTTACTTTGATCTTTCGAGTACTCTTGGTATAAATTTGGAATGGATATATAAAATGGATAAATTAAATAGAAATTGCTTTAATGATATTTATAATAATATTAGTTTAATGATATTTTTAATATTAATGAATGGAACTGCATTGAATGGGCCTATTAAAATGCCGAAGTACCACAGCTGAATTGCCACATTTTCAAATATAAGTACTGGAAGATAAATGGATAAACGGCGAATAACAATGAGTCGAATTAAATTCTTACCATTCAAATATAAAAATTCTAAAATTTTACCTATTATTCGTTTTAAAATTTTTTATTCATAGATTATTATAATTATTTAAAAGAAACGAAAAAGTTTTGCAATTCGAAATCGATTGCAATTTTCTTATAAAACACTGAAAAAATTACGAAAAAAGTAGTTGGAGATTTTTATCGCTTTTTTTTACAACAAAAAGAAAAAAAGAAATTCCATTGAATGAATCCAAAAAAATTAATTTTTATGAGGGAAAAACTTAGAAGAAAATGGAGATAAAAATATGAGAAATTTATTTCTCATTTCAGCACGGTTCGAGATTGGAAAATATAGAATTTCATGTTGGTAGATGTATGAAATGTTAGTTCATTCCTCTTCATTCCTCATTTGTTCAAGGACATGGCCTATCCTATAATTTAGTAAATTAGTGATATAAGTTAGTAAGCTGTAAGTAAGTTAGTGATTAGCACCTATCATTTCTGGTTAGATTAGTTGATCCGGCTGTTAATAACGATCAGGATCTTAATCTTAATAGACTGTAGTAAATAAGAATTTGATAAAAATGTAGAAATATTATGAAAAGTGAAGCATCTGGCTTCGGATAAATTTAGCACCAATTACTATTGAACTGAATTGAATTATTGAATTGAATTCAGAATTGAATTCATCTAAGAAATTCAAATGCTGTCAAATCTCTCACTCTAAATTATAATTCATAAAATTGAGAAGTAATAAAAATCAAAAAATTATTCAAAAGTTGATTTATTAGAGTTTAGACTATGATTTTGAAAATGGAAATTCGCTATTTCAAATAATATTAATGGAAGGAAATACCAAGTAACGCTAGGAATATTTGTTTCGAACGTAACTTAAATATATTTTATGAAACTTAAATTAAACTAATTTCGGGCAAATTGTTCAAGGACATGGAAATGCCTAATATTTTACGGTGATAGATAACATATCATCTTGCTCACATGCGGTTCTCACTTATTTACTTAATTTTTACCACTTCAAGTTCAAGTTACCACTTTTAAAAATTCGAATCACTGGGTAAAGTTTTAGTTTCAGTTATTTATGGAAATTACGTCGAGCCCTATTACAAATTTTTCAATAATAGTTCTACATAATATTTTGTGGTGAAATAGAAATTTCAAAGAGATCGATTAATTAGAACTCATAAATTCTGTTAGATTTAAAAATCGAGAAATGATCGTACTCAATTCACTTTGCACATTTTTTGCAACTTTTTTACCTTGTCTTATGAATACCAAAGAAAGTTGTTAACAGCAAAGTAAAAGTAAATTTACCAAATTTAATCAAAATTAAAAAAGAAATCACCCAGTCATTCAGTTCATTCACAAATGACTTTGTTATTTTAAAAGATGAAGACTGGTTAGTCTCGTTCCACAAGCTGAGAGGCAGTAGAAATGTAAAGGGATTCGCTAGCACCATAAGAGTAATGGTAGTCTTAATGGTAGTTTATTACAGAATCTGAACCTTAGACGCTTAATAATAATAATGTAAAGTTGCCTCTAAAATGGAAATTAATTAATAATTTTTATCAGTTAATTTGAAAACTGCTTTTTTTTAGAAGTTTTAACAAGAAAATAATTTGGCGATAAATTGGTTAAGTTACAACTATTAGCATCATTTCTTCCGTATTTTATTGCAAACTTTCATCTTTTTACGATTCTTTCAGTATTGCTAAGAATATGCTAAAAAACAGTTTTGGTCTACAACTGGTTATCAAGGTTTATCATTTCAACCTTTTTCTTTGACTTGTAGTTAGCTTCAAGCTTATATAATTTAAGCTTCACCTATTATTCCTATTATTTCCCAACTTTTCAATTTGTTCCACAACAATTTTTTAAGAACAACGTATAAATTAAGAAGTTAGATACAGTGATAATAGAATTCCAGTGACAATTCATATGCTACAAATTCAAATAAATTTTATGTTTATTTGATTAATTTCTATTATCTGTTGGAAAAGTAGGAAAATATTTACCATATGTGATTTCAGCAAGATTTAATTGCTAATATGCATATTGCTTTGATTGTTTTTCAATTATTCATAACGGGTCAATGCATTTGGCTTAGGCTGATTTGGGGTTTACTGTATAATAACTCATGCGATACCATAGTTATGCTTGAATGCGCAGTAACAAACGAACTATCGAGTTGTATCTTATCTCTGATAATTCTATATTGTCGCTTGAGGTAAATTTTGCTTAAATTGTGGATACAAAAATGTTTAGCATTAGTTTAAGAGAATTTCATTCTTCATGAAATCGCTTAATTAATTCGCTTTTCTGTTAGTTCTTTTCAAATATTAGTGCAATTGAATTTCGTTAAAACTATTGTCACAAAAAAATTCAAAATTTAAAAATTGATTGTCTGAATTAACTTATTAAAGTTTTCTCTTTTAATGCTATTTTTATTCATATTTTTATTTAAAAAAACTTGGAATCGAACAAATTTAAAAGCGTAAAAATATTCCGATTATTCTCACAAATAAAGTTTTATATAAAAGGCTTAGTTCTATCTTCACGAGAATATTAATATTCATTATTGCTATTCAAAATTTGTTAAATATGGCTTGATTTTCAATTACTTCAATTGTAATTAGATTATGGTATTCTTATATATTAATTTCGCTTGAATAGCATTGCGATTACTGTAGCGAATATTAGGTGGGAAAATGAATTTCTAGTAAGGTTACTGTCATTTAGGGAATTAATTAAGTATTAAGTATTAAGTATTAGGCAATTAATTATTTAGTTTAATATACTTAATTATTTTAAAACTTGGTTGGACAGTTAACGACCTCAATATAATCTGTGCAATCGTTTTATCCTTTCTATTTTATCCTTTGAATTTCTCTCTGCGTTTCCTCAATATTATTCTCAATCTGTTGTAGTTTACATTATTAGTACAAGGTGTTTCCTCTTCTCTCGCCATTATTATCTTTTTTATTGTTTTTTAAAATAATTCCATTTTATTACGTTTTGATCTACTTTCATTAACCACTATTTACCAACATTTTTAGTTTTATTTATTTTCAAAATAATTAAATATCGCCATTCATATAATGTATCAGTTTCAAGCAATTTATCGATAATTCTTATTTGTGGAGAACAAAATAAATGAAAAAAGATTGGACAGTGAAAAAGGAAAAATACCGAATAAAATACCGAACTATCTATTTGAGCATTTTTGATTATTTTTTTAGCAATAGAAAGATTATTATTTATTTCTTTTTTCCATAGAAATTTATATTTTAATCAGTCATTATTATCAATAATCCATTTAAGACTTTACACTTTATCTTAATTTTCAGATATTAAATAAATATTTTTAAAGTATAATTTAACACAAATTTTTTATCTTTCAAATGCAAATTTTCTTCGAATTTTTTAAAATTTTACTATTTTACTATTTGTTTGATCTCCATTTTTATCTTGTAAAATTCTTATTTAAGATTATCTAAAATTTTTTTGCGTCTATTCAGTCTTATTTCTATAGAAAGCCTATTTTTTTTCATTCCCATTTTTTAACATCAGTTTTTTGCCAAATGTTACGATTAAAATATAAAGGCTCAATTCTTGCAAAGTGGCTATTATAAGCGAATTTGAATTTGGATT